ATCTCTCGGTAGTGGTTGCTCCATCTCAAGCTGGTGACCTGTGAGCCAGTATCGATGCTGTTAGTCCGGGCACCGGTGGTGGTGTTCCAGAAGTGGATGTGACGGTCATACGAGCCGCCACCAGTCGCGAGCAGGTTCAACTGCCAAGGGCACCAACTCAGAGCTTTCACGGCCGCACGGTGGTTTGTCTTGGTAAACTTGGGAGCGCTCAGAGACCGCGCATCCCAGATGTTGACCAGGTTGTCATTACCGCCGGTGGCGAGTTGAGCCCCATCGGGTCGCCATTCGAGACCACACACTTCTGAGGTGTGGGAGACGAGTTCTGCAACCTTGTGTTGAGCGATGCGAACATCGTGGTTGAAGACGAGACCGCTGCGCGCACCGGTCGACAATGTGTGCTTCGACCAGCCCATCACACCAACACGGGAGTCATGGCCAAACATGCTTCGAAGCTTGGTGCCTTCTTCCACGTCCCAGATCTGCACCTCTCCCGTGCCGAGACCCACTCCGACATATGCGCCATCGCCGCTCCATTTGACACTGCTTACATATGTGTCTGGGGAAGTTTCTAGCAAGCAACTGACAGATCCAGAATCCGCCGACCACACATAGACATTGCGCTCAAGACCAATAGCGACCTGGTTGCCAGAGCTCCAGTCCAGCAAATTGAGATAGTAATCATCAAGAAGACCAGGAGCGTCCAATACCCGCTCAGGAGCGGTCTGGACTCTGCGGCGGAATTGAGAACCTTTGGCTTTGCTTGATTTCAATGGACGATTGTACTGTGCTCTCAAGTCAATTGGCTTTGACGATTCTGGAGGTGGTGGCTTGAAGGCGAGGATACGAGTGTTCAAATTGACGCCACAGGCGTCAGCGAGCGACGATTCGTAGGCGACGGCATCAGGTGCGGGCTTGGTGTACGACGTTGTTGAATTGTCATTGTCCTCAAGACCAAGATTTTCAAGAGCAGCAGTCAGATCATCGTCGTCTCCTCGACCTCCGATGTCGAAGGCGCTCGCAGCACTTGCAAGGACGGAGGATCCTTCACTACTGCCCGTCTTAGGCCGCTGGTTCTCCTCCGGTTTGGCGGTCCCAGTTGTTGTCAGCCCTTCGCTTGCGGACCGGTTGGGAATGAATCTGTCACCAGCATTGTGAGCGATGCGAACGGTGGTCTTGCCCGACCTTGTGCGAGCAGAAACTTCTTTCCGCACCCGCTCTTTCGATGACGGAGACTGGCCCGACGAGGGGCCTGTGCCGGTTAAAGACCAATCCGAAACACCAAGCTCAAGATGCCTCGGGGACTTGCGCGTCCTCGCAATGTTGGATTTCGGGGATTCTCGGTAAGTTTTTGATGTCTTCGCGACCGATTTAGCGAAGTATGAGGACAGATTGCCACCGTAGACCGAACGACTGCTGTCTTTCGTAGCATCTGCCGATTGACGAGGGGGTGTGAAGGGAGATGAATGATTTGATGCCACACTCGCTCTTCTCGCGTGAGGAGATGGTGTGAGAGGCATGCGACCGCCAGCGGTCTTGGATGAAAACAGTCCGTGATGGGACTTCACCGGAGTAGATATCAATGGAGTAGCCATGTTTGTAATGTACAATCCCCAACGAATGGTATATTAGAGGGTCCTCAAGAGAAAAAATTGCTCCTCGATTTCAATTGCCAGATCCGGTCATTCAATGAGGATGTAGGTCTAAAACGCAACGAAATGGTAGTGTATGCAAGTATAAACCGGCAAAACGAATCATATACTATGCAAGCAAATATCAGATACGAGCGTAACTGAGAAAAATGCAAAAGGAAGATGGATTCTGAGAGCAGCAGAGCAGAGATCCAGGGGAATAAATACAGCGTATAGTTCTTTCTCCCCATGGCAACGGTTACCTGAGGTACGGCTGTTCTAACACTGATTGGGTTAGCGTCCACATGACGTGCGGCTCTTTCCTTTTTCGTTGGGCGCCGATCGTCTTGGCGCTCTTTTACACTTTTCTTCCCTGTCATCATTGCAAGATCCAGTCCGGGACTTGATCTGAGCTACTTTAGAAATACAATTCTGCGTCTCTAATCCCGTCGACTTTTCAATTTCCTTTTCATAGCACGGTTGTGTGGGTCAGCAATACAACTCGGCCCTTTTGGAGAGCCTGATGGCGTGGCAGCCGTCCTCCACTATTACCAGTAATACTACATCCTCCCCGGTCTTCACCCAATTCCGCGAGGACCCACCGTCTTGGATCAGATCATCAAGAGGTTCAAATTCAAATCCGATGACTCCCACTCCCTCAGTTCATCAGAGACCACAGAGCGCATACCTCATGCCGACCAGTCCAGCTCGAGGTCGTCGTGGTAGCACGGATTATCGCCCCGTCATCCGCAAAGCCCAAGGCAATGTCCCTGCGTGTTTGGTCAATGCATCCGTGACGTATTGCAACAATGACCAAATCTATGCGTTTGGAGGATTTGATCAGTTCACAGACGAAGGTTGATACTGATTTTATTCTACGGTTTAATCGAATATCTACATCATCTCTCATGCTAACGTTTCGGACTGAAATAGTTTACAACCATGTCCTGAGATTAGACTTGAAAGCACTTCGTTGGGAACTTGTGGATAACTATGGCGATATTCCCGGTGTTCGCATGGGTTGGTCGATTCATAGCAGATGGCTTTCTTGAGTTCCGCTAATATGTTTTAATACTTTTTATAGGACACACTGCTACTCTGTATCAAGGCGACAAACTCATTGTCTTCGGGGGAGAAAATGAACATCGCGAATACCTCTCTGATATCGTCATCCTCGATATCCCCACTTCGACCTGGACTCAACCGGAAATTCGTGGACAAATCCCGCGGGGAAGGGCTCGTCATGCTGCTGTCATTCATGACGAGAAGCTTTTCATCATAGGCGGTGTTACTGGAGAGAACAATGTGATTCTCGATGATCTATGCTACCTTGACCTGAAAACATGGACCTGGTCCCGGAGTTGGAGATTCACAGCTCGTTTCGACCACACCGCCTGGGTTTGGGGGGACCGTCTTTGGATATTTGGAGGCCTCGACCCGGATATGGAACGCACAACCGATATTTGGTGGCTTGATCTCAAGGGCTCGCCGTTTCTTGGAACCCCGTCTTCGCAAGGTACCGTGGAATTCCCCGGAATACTCAACAGGATGACTCATAGTTCAGACACGGTATATAGTAGTCCAAACCAGCAGTTGCCCGGCCGGTGCGGTAGCTACGCGGCGAATTCTGGGAGTGTACAAGTTCGCAACTCCGGTCGAAAAAAGCCAATTGCCCCAGGAGCTATCTCTTGTCATAAGTTCCGATCTGGTCCTTATGTTCCTGCCTTGTCTGCTGGAACCCACTTTCAGGCTCATGCGTCTGGTGTCCTCCTCGACCTGATCACCCCTTCTGAAACAGTCCGGACATATGAGTGCAAGTTATCGGCTTTGGAGCTTGACACTCTTCGTTGGCAGAAACTCGCAGATGGGCAAGAGATCTTCAAGCCCGGGTACCGCTGGCATTATTGTACAGTCAACGCTAGTGGCACCAAAGCCTGGCTGCTGGGATGCAGCCTTGACGTTGGCGCCGCTCCTGGCAACAGTGATGAGAATCATATGAGTGAAGTGCTTTGCATTGACCTGGAGAAATACGGTTTGCTTGGCAATGAACTGGCGACCCTGTCTCCTGATCAAAGCCGGGCTTTGGTATCGGAAAGGTCAGGACTGCCGCCCATTTCTGGGCTTGGGGCGGATCTCTCCGCTGTCTTCGACCAACCTCCAGAATCTGGCAGTGATGCTGACTTTATCATCACCGCAAATCCGGATGACTTCGAATATCCGGACGATGTGGCAGAGGATGCTCCTCCGACAGAGTCTCAGCCGGCGTTCTTGCCCGCGAATGCTCCCACTTCGCCTCCTATTCATGTACATCGCATCATCCTGCAGCTTCGGTGGCCGCATTTCAAGCGACTGTATTCCGCGCAAATGGCAGAATATCACTCTAAGAGAATGCACATTCCTGAACCATACTCTGTCGTCCGTGCTTTCCTCTACTATCTATACACAGACAGCATATCAGGGCATCCTGAATATTGCTCCAGCATCATCGATGTTGCAGGTATGCTCGTCATGGCGAACCTGTATGACATGCCAAAGCTACGCCTGCTCTGCGTAAATCGCTTGAGCCGCGAGTTGGATGTGGAGAACGCGGCCATCATCTGGGAACGGGCCGGGCGGACCAACGAAGATTGGTTGATGCGGCGCGCCGCACAATTTTGCCTCAGCCACTGGGGTCGCGTTGTCCGGACGGACGGCTTCAAGTCCCTCAGTCGTCAGAGCTTGATTGAGCTGTGCGAGGTGGTCGACATGGAAGGTCGGATTGTTGCCGGACCCGAACTGGAACTAGTGGGTGCTCTAGGAGCGGAGGGGGTTGATCTCAACAGAGATACCAAGCGATCCCGGCCTTCTGTTGGAGGCGCTATGACTGACGACGTGGATGATCTCGAAGGGGAAGATGTGGATGGAATGGAGATTGTTTGACCTTACGGGCTCCCAATTCATTCAGACACTGCACCACGGGAAACAACAGTACAGGAGCGGACACGCCGACCATATGACTTCAATGACTATGTATGACTTTCCTATTTCTACTACTGGATGGGCGTCAATTTGGCAAACGCACGGATGTTTCTAGCAATAAGCATCTTGGGGGAGTTATGGGACCATTACGGGTATAGCTATGTATAATATTCGACATAACCGACAGATAGCCGCTACGTCCTTACTACTCTGTTGAAAGCAATACGTCTCAACTATGTATAGCAAGACCTCCAACAAGTCCAATATAGGTACTGTCAATCGGTTGACGGCCCGTCGAGCCGCTGTTGTTGCAGTGCGGCCAGTGCCTCAGGTGCCCCGCCAGGCATCAACTTCCCGAGTGTCAGCACGGCCTCATTATGCTAAATGATAGCCATTAATCTTCCGCGCCCCACACCAGTATTCCTCTGGGCGCGGCCTTCGCTTCCTGGACTATTTACAGCTTCTTCCACTCTTGGGACCTATACTGTAGAATGGTTGGACCAAGGAACTGGTGACTGGGTGAACCGTGATGCAGTCCGTCGATTCTCCAAGACGGTTCCCCGCTCACCCCTCCATGGCTTGATGGAGAGCTCTTGAAATGCCAGGAGGACGGACTTAAATATCCGTCCATTCTCCTCGGTCATCCTGGAGAAAAATCCTCGAGACATACCACTGCTTCTTTCAGTAGTTGTCCCATCCATTGAAAGGAAAAGAAAGCTGTCTGAATCCATCCCCTCGAGATCTATTCCGTCATGGGCTCCACAACTACCTCGACTCTTCCTCCGGACTTTCTTTGGGGATTCGCAACTGCGAGGTATATCCTGATCTTATGTCTTCTCTTTCACGGGTTTTTAACTAATTGTCGCCGCTATTTCGTTATCTAGCTACCAGATTGAGGGAGCTGTGGATGAAGATGGACGAGGCCCATCTATTTGGGATACCTTTTGCAAAACCCCCGGCAAAATAGCCGGTGGAGCCTCTGGCGAGGTGGCTTGCGATTCTTACCACCGCACCCATGAGGACATTGCCCTGCTCAAGGAGTGTGGCGCAAAGGCCTACCGTTTCTCTATCTCATGGTACATCATTGCACAGCCTCTGGGACACTAATTGAGAGAACGAATTTTGGCTAACCCCATCTCGGTCATAAAATACAGGTCTCGTGTCATCCCTCTCGGTGGCCGGAATGACCCTGTCAATGAAAAGGGTCTCCAGCACTATATCAAGTTTGTCGACGACTTGCTCGCGGCGGGTATTACTCCTCTCGTTACCCTCTTCCACTGGGATCTTCCCGATGCGCTTGACAAGCGCTACGGTGGTCTTCTGAACAAGGAAGAATTTGTTGCAGATTTTGCCAACTATGCTCGCGTAATGTACAATGCTTTCGGCTCAAAAGTCAAGTACTGGATTACTTTCAATGAGCCATGGTGCAGCAGTGTGCTCGGATACAATGTAGGCCAGTTCGCCCCTGGCAGGACCAGCGACCGTACCAAGAGTTCTGTGGGTGACGGCTCGCGCGAGCCTTGGATCGTCGGCCACAACATCCTTGTGGCTCACGGAGCGGCGGTGAAAATTTACAGAGAAGAATTCAAACCCAGAGACGGTGGTGAGATTGGCATCACATTGAATGGTACGAGCACTAGCCTCCATGTGCATAGCTTCATGGAGTAGTTGCTGATCAAATCCAAGGTGACTGGGCCGAGCCTTGGGATCCCGAGAACCCCGCGGACGTCGAGGCCTGTGATCGCAAGATCGAGTTCGCTATCTCCTGGTTCGCTGACCCCATCTATCACGGCAAGTACCCAGACAGCATGGTCAAACAATTGGGTGACCGCCTGCCCGCCTGGACCCCGAAGATATCGCCCTCGTCCACGGCAGCAACGACTTCTACGGCATGAACCACTACTGCGCCAACTACATCAAAGCCAAGACAGGCGAGCCGGACCCCAATGACGTCGCCGGCAACCTGGAGATCCTCCTGCAGAACAAGAACGGCGAATGGATCGGTCCCGAGACACAGTCGCCCTGGCTGCGACCCCAGCCCATTGGGTTCCGGAAGCTGCTGAAATGGCTCAGCGACCGCTACAACCAGCCCAAGATCTACGTTACCGAGAATGGCACCAGTCTCAAGGGCGAGAATGACCTGCCCGTGGACCAGATCCTGAACGACGAGTTCCGTGTGCAATATTTCCGCGACTACATCGCCGCCATGGCGGACGCCTACACGCTGGACGGTGTTAACGTCCGCGCTTACATGGCATGGAGCTTGATGGAGTAAGTTTTCTTTCGTTCCGACGTACAGGACCAGCTAGCTGACAGATCCCCTTCCCCCGTGCAGCAACTTCGAATGGGCCGAAGGCTACGAGACCAGATTTGGCGTCACCTTCGTCGACTACGCAAACAACCAAAAGAGAATCCCCAAGAAGAGCGCCAAGGTCCTCCGCGAGATCTTCGATCAGTACATCGAGAAGGCTTAGGTTGACGGACTGTATGACATGGAGCTTAGGATGATGTTGCATGTACATAAAATTAAAATCTCATGATTTCACAGAGTCTACCTAGGGTAACTTCATCACATCTAACTTGCCCCGGAAGAGCAGTTACCAGCCCTTTGATACCGGTACTTTCCAATTATTTGTTACCGTATCAGACATGGAGTTTTCTCCGTGCCGCATGCGTTGCTCCGCACTCTATTGTCATGTGGCAAGCTCCTGGCTCCACCACCCCACTCTGCATTTAGCCTGCAGTCCACAGTCTCCACTGTCCCATTCTTTGTTTTCTGACTGGAACACTTTAGCAATGCAACTGAGCCAGGCCAGAATCAGAGTTAACGGATACAATCATCATGAAAGATTATATACAAGATAGACTGAATGATCCTTTGCACATCTTCAGTCAAAGCTTTATAACGCATACCGGAAGTTCTCTGACTCCATGTCGGTCAAGTCCTTGAACCCATCCAGAATAGCAGCTTCCTCGCGCCGCATGAGACTATCTTCCGGTGATGCCTTGCGATCTCTCCGCAGATTCTCCCATTTCATGTACACATACGAAGCAAGCGCCAGGGCAATCATGCCAGCATAGCAGATTAGCAGACCTGTCAAGGCGGAGTTGTACCGGGGCGCTTCACGGGCGAAGAAGATTTTGGCGCCAGCGACGTGACCTGCTGCGAACATGGTGAACCACATGCCATTGGCCATCGAGCGCTTGGTATGTCCGGCGACATTTGTCGCTAAAAGGTTCCACGACACGATGATTGGGGCCCCGATGATGTACTGCAGCCAGGTGCAGCCGACCAGAGCCCATCTGTGGTCGAGGCTGGTGAATCGGATGCCGAGGAGCCCGCCGAACGGGATGAGGCATGCCGCGGCGAGGACGAGGCAGCGCGAGTCGCGGACGTAGGTCGCGACGAGGCCGCAGATGGGCACCACGACGGCTTGGATGGCCCCGGTAGGGAGCTGGAGGAGAGTTGTGTAGATGCCGTTGAAGCCGAAACCCTTGATGAGCGCCGAGGCGAAGTTGGACACGCCGCCGTTGATGACGCCGCAGCCGATTCCAATTCCTAAGGAGAAGAGGACTTTGGGGTCGTATAACGCTTCGAGGGCCTGGCGCGGCTTGATCTGCTTGGTTTTGACCCCGATCATGTTCTCTGATACTCGCTGAACAGCGACAACGCGTTGCCGGTGGGTGAGGAACTTTGCGGAGCTCGGTGAGTCGGGCATCAGCCAGAGGAAGAGACAACCAGTGGCGAAGTTCATCAGACCGATCGTGAGGAAGATGAGCTGCCAGCTGTGAAGATTGGTATTATGAGAATGGCCCAGTCCGAAACCGAGAAGCGCTCCGATCATCGTGGCCATGCCATTGCCAGACATCCAGAGACTCATACGCAGAGGCTGTTCAGATCTCGTGTAGAACATGGAAGTGAAGTTCATCACTGCATCAGTCAGTTATCCGAGTCTGAAGTGATGGATGACACAATTTATTGGAACTTACGGCACGGACTCACGCATGCCTCTGCCATACCCAACAGGAACCTCAAGACTAGGATGCCCGCATAATTCTTAGCTCCGATATGCGCAATAACGAGGCCGGCCCAAATCAGGATGACTCCACCCATATACTTCGCTAGGGGCAATCGTTGAATCAGGAGATTCGCCGGGATTGCCCAGAACACATACCTTGTCGGGTTAGCGAAGCCGGCTCCATTGTATGAGGAAAGGGTCTGGGGTACCCAAAGTAGAATATGGCAGCAACCCAAGAATATCTCTGGCCTTCGAGACCGAGATCTGGGATCAGGGTATAGGCCGAGGCATAGTTGAGCGAAAGCTTGTCTATGAATCACAAATGAGCGGGTCTCTTCAAGAATCGTCCGAGTGAATGAGCATGTCTAACCCAGAAACTGCATTACAAAGGTTAAGTATAGCTATGCAGGCGAACTGTCAGTGACTGATACACAGCACGATGCAATTAGCAAGACAGCGGATCCTACAGGGGGCGTACAATTGGCAATATCCTGCCATCTAACATCTTGCGCACTCGGATCCCTTCTTTTTCCAGTTCCTCTGGCGATAATTGCTCCACCTCCGCATAGAGGTCTGCTCCAATGTCCCTAATATCCTCAGGTGCAATATCATCCTTTTCCTCCAGACTGTCGGAGCGTCGCACATCCAGCTCGGATTCCGTAGTGTCGGTCATGGTTGCAAGATCAACTGGCTTGGAGTGCAAGTAAGTGTCGTACTGTTGAAAGTTGACGGGTTCAATCTACCCCTTCCCATAGGAATCCTCCCCGCCGTAATTTCAGATAGCATAAACATTGTAGAGAAGATTCTGCAGAGCATAATGTTTATCAGCATCTGGTAGATAGCACACAAGGTACTCTATCTCTTGGCAGATCATGCAAGGTACTCTATATCTTGGCACTCAGACCATGCTTTCTTATCGTAAACTGTGCAGCAAGTCAATTGCCAAACTTCATTTCTCCACACGAAGATGGCTAATCAGACAATCATTGGACAAAAATCCAATTGTCCCCTTAGTTGGTGGGATTAAGATTCTGGAAGACGCAGGCCGAAGATGGTCGACTGGATTGATGTCGTAGGGCGTCGGCACTTGTAGCCTTGTAGGACACCGAGATGCTAGAGTTGGATCGAGAGAGCGCACAATGTCTGCGATGGGATTGTAAGTCTTCGAGATAGGATTGGTCGTCAGGTATGTTGCTGGCGAAGAAGATATAGCAAAGAACTAAGACATTCATCCTCATCGATGCTCGCATCTTGAGTCTTCAACATGCCCTAAGTTCGGGACGGACTAGACTTAGTAGTCCGAAATCTCCAACGTATCAGTGTATACGACGCTTCCGGCATGCAACAAGAGAGGGAATCCATTAACTCTGTATGTAGCCACTGCAATGATACGAGCCCGGTATGAGCCCAGTCCCTGTCTAGCATTGGACAAATTGCAGGCGATAAATGAGTGAGTCTGAAAGCTCATACAAACACAGGCCGAGTATACGGATCTCCGAACGCTGCCGCCATATAAAAGTCATTTAATCCAGCGTTGAGTCGACTTATCATATCCGATCATCTTCAGGTCAATATTCAGCGTCTTCAGCATAATGTCCATTGTAAATTCCTGTACAAACTCTGTTAACATCCTCTATCCAGCCGAAGCGACAATCCATCAAATATACCTCATCTTCAGGTGCCTCACTCCCAGTACCCGCCTCCTGTTCCTTCCGGGGCATCTCAACTTCATCAAGAAGCTCAGCTTTCCGCTGCTCCAGTTCCTCTTCGTCAATCTCAACCCCCTCCGCTTCGGCATTGCGATACCACGAATTCATTTCCTCCTGTTCCCACCTGGCGCTGTCACTCTGCATTCGCTCCCCCAAGCTTTCAGACCCCCCATCCGAGAGACCCGCTCTCGAGCTCCTTCGAAAACCTCTTCAGCAGCTTCCTGGCTTACAGTCTTCCATTTTAGAATCAGAGCTTCGAGCTCGGCATCTTTCGACGATGATTCAATTCGTAGAGCTTGCTGCACGGTATCGAGTTCAGAGCGGAGAGCAGACAGTCTGGATTGTAAAGCTCGTTCTTCCTTTTGAAGCTCTGAGGTGAGAGGATCTGCTAATATGCTCTTCTTTGATGGAATTATCTGATTTGTACCCGGTTTTCGTTTTCGATTCTGCAAACTTGGAAATGGCGAGGCGGGGGATGAGCTTGTAAGAGAGGTTGGTTTAGAAGAGATGGAAGTCCGCGGCGTAAGATGCTCCTGTGCACCTTTGCCATCTACATCTTGCCGTTCTTGTTCTGCAGCCTCGGTCTTGATGGAAGAATTGTTGAACGCCTTTTCCTTGTCCGCAGTGCCCTGCACTGGCTTGCGGAGAGGTGACTTGAACGGCTTCGAGAGCGTAGAAGCGGCACCTTCGATGCGACGTCGTTTTCCGTTCAGATTGACAGAAGACATTTTCAAGCATTGACATTCAATTCTGCATTGTATCACATCCTTACATACGGCTTGCCGATTTAAAAAGTGATTCACTTGACTTGGGAATGATGGCAGAATGCACTCTTGCGCGTCGTCTGGAGGAGTTGATCAAAAAGACGCTTATCGATAAGAGCTGCTATCCGATAAGATAACGGATACTGATATTTTGAGATTTACGAGGTCTTTATGAGCTTGAATGGTGCCTAGAAGAATGTACAATTGGAAGAACTCATGCAGATGCTTTCTCTATTAATGTCCAACACCACCGGCAACCCACTGAGCAAACTCCGGATCTCCAGGCTGCGGGAAAAGCCCCGGTCGTTTTGATTGTTCCCTGCCGCTGGGTTGGCACCCGGATTCTCGTTCGGCCTCTGCCTGTTTCGCTGCTGCCTCAAGTATACAAGTACGAGTAATGTGGCGGCCAAGGTGACAATAATGAGGCCTTCCAGAACGCTCTCATCAATGTCGAGTTCGAGGTCATCATAGTAGCCATCGTCATGGCGGTGTTCATCAAGACGGCGTGCGTCTGGATTTGAAGATAGCATGTCATCTTCATCTTCCGCATGCTTGTACAACTGTGAGTGGTAAGCCTCCTCCTCTTCGTCGTTCTCAATGAACGCTGCAATCCACTCTTTGAATGTCCGACGAGGCTTTTGTTCTGCGGTGTCCGGTCAGCATGTAAACAGGCGTAAGCGATCAAATCATCTTGGGTATCCTACCCTCATCCTCTCGAATGGAGTTGACCTTTCCATTCGTAATCTTGTTCCAGTAACTGCGTATCCGCAGCTTTATTAGGCTTAATTTCACAGGCAGATAAGCTTCTGCATTTGCTTCGAGCGCCAAGTCGTAGTATCTTTTGGCCATATGGAAGTCTTGCTCCACAGCGACTCCATTCTCGTGCATCCAGCCAAGGTTCCAGTAGGCCTGCGCACTGTAATGGGCTTCAGCAGCGGTATGATAGCAGATAGAAGCTTTTTCAGGGTCGGCTCCGATGCCAGTTCCGCCGAGATAGTAGTCACCCATCTTGATCAGCGAGTCGATATTCGCCTGCTTGGCCGAACGTGTCCAGTAGATCAGTGCTAGAGCAGCGTTTCGAAGGAGAGACGGAGGAGGCTTCTTAAACCCAGGTACAATAGAGTCGAGCGACAACAATGAGCGCTGCTCATCGAGCAGGAATGCTACATTTGCCTGAGCGCTTTCGTAGCCCTGCTCTGCAGCCATCATGGCTGGGATCAAAGCCGCTTCTTTATCGCCATTCACATACGCGGCGTTTGATTCGGCAAACGACGAATGAATCGCCTCGGCACGCTCCGCGACCATCTTATAATACGATGCAGCCATTCCGCAGTGTCGTTGCCGGCCGATGCCATTGTTCGACAACTCCGCCAGGTAATAGAAGGCCTCCATGGAACCCCAGCGAGCAGCCAGCTCGAAATACCGTATCGCCGTGGCGACATCTCCCTGATCCAGGAATAGAACTCCAAGTCTGGTCTCCGAGGCTGGATAGTCCTGATCGGCAGCCGATTTGAAGTACGAAGCGGCCCTGAAGGCATCCTGGGGCACGCCGTACCCGTGAAGATACATGAGTCCTATCTGGTGCTGACAGAGCGAGTCGCCGTTGACGAGTCCCCGCTTAAACCAGGTAAGAGCGTTGTTGAAATTCTGCTCGACGCCTTCGCCGCGAAGGTACATCATTCCAACGTGGCCGGCTGCCTTCGAAGCAAGTTTATCGATCCCCATGGGGTGATTGGGATTGACCGACCCGTCCTTGTTCCAGTAACGTCTCGTTACCTGCTTGAAATACTTCATTGCCTTTCGGAAATTCCGAGGCAAGCCTCGTGCCCCATCGTAGTGTAGCTTCCCCAAGCTAAACGTGGCCTTGAGCTCCCCCTTACGCGACATGAGGTCCAGGTATTCTAGAACATCCTCCAAGCTGGCCTCGGTACTCGACTGGACCCCATCACGCTGTGCGTTAGGCCCTGAGCTTGAGACACTGGCACCCTCGCCGTAAACGCCACCCTCCTCGTCCGCCCACCGATATGCTTCACTAGCCATGCTATAGCCACCGGGCGGCCCCGATCGATACCACTGAATCGCCTTGTCCGCCACTTTCTTGTAGTAATACGTCGCTTGATCGCAGTCTCTGGGAGTCCCGATACCAGCGTGGTGGCGATACGCCAGCGTCATTTCAGACCTCGTGTTCCCTCCTTCCGCAGCAAACGTATGATACAACAATGCCTTGCCCTGGTCGCGCTCCACCCCGTCCCCAATGCCGGTGGCGTACATGAAACCGAGCATATATTGCGCTGTACTGTTTCCAGTCAGGGACGCAAGACTCTGGTACCAATGAAAAGCGCGCTTGAAATCGCGCGGATGTGTAAAGTTGCCATAGAAGTTCATTTCCGCTAATAGGAACATCGCATCGGGGTTCTCATCCTCCTCCGCAGCCAGCTTGAGTTCTTTCACGGCTTTGACGACATTCGGATCGACTCTGCGTTTCTCAGTTGTCTCCAATTGAGGTGCATTCATGAATAGGATGCGGAACGCCTGTTGAGCGTAATGTAAGGCATATCCGACGAGGCCCGGTGGCTTCTCAGATCGGGTGGTTGAAATCTTTATTCCATGGAGGATTCTGAGGGCATTTTCGACACGTTCTATAAGAAGACAATATCAGTCGCCGTTCAAACATGCTCACCCATTGGCAGCAATAGCCTCTTACCTTGTCCGGGCCAAATGTGAGACCCCTCAGCTTCACCCGCATATTTGCTTCCATGCTGATATGCTTCGGAACTCACATCTATTGATGTATGACCATTCTCTGACTGAACTTTCGATTCAACCACGAGCGCCTGCAGCAGCACTAGAAATTGATCGCTGATCATCAGTATGAGAACCTCAGTGCGACCACCGTTGACGTAGTGGATACTTACGGAGCGCCAGAGGCAGGAAACGCCATAGCCATAGGTTCTTCATGTTGCCTGGCAAAACTTGGTAGTATTTGGGAGCAATAAGAAGCACATTGCGATTCCTCTTCTCACAATTGACTGGACATCGATCCACCTCGTCAACAGTCAGAAATGTGGTCTCGATGACTCCGGGGAAGCTGGTTCGGCGTATTATGAGCTCACGCGGGAACCGGCCACCTGGCGTTGCGGAGCTTCATTTTGCCGATGAACAGATCGTACCTATGTGCATCATCTTATCACAGAATAATCATGTCCTGCGATAAATTTCCTACAATGCTAAATAATGTTTTCCCTTCTAAGAATAATATTCCCTTTATTTATCCATTCCTTCTTCAATCCGTTTTAGCTAGGCTGTGTACATGAAAAGAACAAGCAGTGGCAGTAATACAATCATTAACAGCGTTCTTGAGGGACCAAAGCACTCGCCCATCCACTAACCATTCAGTTCGAAAGCCATCGTGGTATTTCGAAGGTCCGAAGGGAAGTGGGAGTGCAATGAATGAGAACAACATGCATCGCCAGCCCAGAAGAATGTATCACAATTTCAGCAGGGTGGCTCAAATTATTGAAAAGGAAAAACAATCAGGCTGAAACGTCAAAAAAAGGCATACATTTGTGAAAGGCTGCTGGCGCCCATATTGAGGATGAAATAACCAACCAAGTCCGCGGCATCAGATGCAAAATGTGTTCATTTTATGGATTGTTCGATAGAATGGATGATGGTACAGGAATAGAACGGAAACCATAAAGAAGTAGCCGAAGCACTTGCTAATCTCACTGGCGAGGAGACCTAAACAAGAATGTTAGTCAAATGCGCACACATCAATCAAGCAGAAGACGAGGGTACATACGAAGGGCTGAAGGCCGGGGACGTAGGACTGTATCCAGGGGAGGTGGGGCCTCCCGGAGACGTCGGCGATCCAGCAAAGTTAGGCGACGTAGGTGAGTACGTCTGCGGGCTCGTAGGAGACCAGCCAGGAGATGTAGGCGTGTACTTGGGAGATGTAGGTGAAGTAGGAGATAGGTGTCGACCGGCGCCACCAATAGCAGGACTGGTCGGGCTGTAGCTAGGCGACGTAGGGCTGAACGCAGGAGAAGCCGGGCTGAAGCTGGGGGACGTAGGGCTGTAGTTGGGCGATGTTGGTGAAAACCCTGGCGATGTGGGAGAGTAGGACGGAGACGTCGGGGATGCCTGTCCATACGCCGGCGACGTCGGTGAATATGCGGGCGAGGTTGGAGCGAACGATGGACTGGCAGGAGAGAAGCCAGGGGACGTCATGAAACGAGGACTGGTGATGCCCATGCCAGGAGACGTAGGTGAATAGCTTGAAGTTGGGGAGTACCCAGGAGACGTGGGATTGGCGCTGAACGGGCTGCTGGGTGAATAGCCTGCCGGGCTTGTAGCAGCGGGGCTGAAACCACCTCCAAAGCCACCCGTAGGTTGGTACTCGGTGAAGCCGCCAGGAGACTCGGCGCCCGCCTGGCCAATAGGCGAGAATGAAGAATCCGGATCGGGGTACCGATGTATGCACTTTCCTGCATGGGCGAACCAGTATCGTACTGTGTGGCAGCACCGTCGGAAATAATTGCATCCTTGGCCCCAATGGTTCCCATAACACCGAACCGTGCATTGTTCGACACAACAGTATTGAGGAGGTTTTGGTCAAGGAAGAGGTCAAACTCTCCTGTACCAGCGGGCGCCATCTGTCCCAGGATCAGATTCTCTGACACACCGCGGCAGTCGTCGAGTTCTCCGAAGGCTGCAGCTTCCAGCAGGATCTCCACCGTTTCTTCGAACGAACACCGCATCAGGGCACCATTGTCAGCACGATTGATACCGTGGCGAGTGACCGGTGTCAGATAACCTCGCACCGTCATGACGTCGACCAGAAGCGCCAGATGACGGTGGTTGACATAGGAACCGTCGAAGGCAAGCACTTGGGTCAATTCCCGAAGCACAGCCGTACGGGCAGCTTCAATACCGAAGACTTCAAAGACCTCGATAAACTGGTTCGAGTACGTACGCGTAGCGTCAACTCCAGGGACAGCCAGGACCTCACCAAGGGAAGAACCACTAGTTTCAAGAACCCACTCCTTGCAGAGAGGATCAGTCTTGCTCGCAAACAGGCTGCCATCCTCAAGAACACGGACTTTGCTCTTCTCGTTAATAAAAGCCCGTTCCACTCCTTGAACACCACGGAGAGTGAGAGTATCCAGAAGATGCTGCTCCAATTTCTTGAGAGTGACATCGTATTCAATGTCCTCATCATCCTCGTCTTCCTTGTAATCCTGGATTTGACGGATACGGATGACCTGCTCATCGGCGTTGTTATCACTGAAAATAACCGCGATATCCTTGGGATAAGCCTGCTTAATCTTGGCAGCAACATCCTGCACTGTAAGGCCCTTATCCAGGAGCTTTGGCCGACTGAGAATGATACGAAGCAACCACTTGGACTGTCGAGAAGAGGCGTCTGTGACATCCTCCGGAATGATGAAGTAGGACTCGACCATATCCCTATCATTTTCAATGACCGTGGTCTGGATGTCCGGGTCGTAGTATATCTCAGTGGCTTCTGTAACGGATCTCAGGCTGGTATGCTCAACAACGCTTCGCAACTGTTTAGCAGATTCCTTATCGTGGCATTTGTGGGGCAACTGGTAAACAGTCATAGATGGCGTCTTGATGTTTGTAGCAACGTTGAGAATTTCCTTGAGACGAGGAACACCGAGGGTGACGTTCTTCGACGAGACACCAGCAAAGTGGAACGTGTTCAAGGTCATCTGTGTGGCGGGCTCGCCAATAGACTGAGCGGCAAGCACACCAACCATTTCACCTGGGTTAGCGCCAGCCTTAGCAAATCTGCTCTCAATAGCACCGATGACATGCTGGAAGGCAAGCTTGTTCATCGAGTACTCGGTGACAAGTCTGCGGAAAGCAAGGCGACTGCGAAGCTGTGCCTTGAACAACAGTGTGGCATTCTCCTGCGCCTCGCGCGAGATCGGATCGTCGCCGCGCACAACTAACAGACGATCGAGTAGAGAGCGGACTTGAGGGATGACTTCAGCAGGATGTAAATCGCTGATGGCCCCTTCGCGTATCCGGAATGTGCTCCTGGCGGTCTCAAGAATTCTCTGCACGTTGATGGGAAGCTGCATCATCTCATCATCTTCTTTCGCGACAGAGCGAAGGAATGCCCGATCTTTGAGCAATTGCTCCCATTCCTCATCGAGATATCTCTGGACTTCAACATCGCCAGCAATTTCATTGGCCTGTTCCAAGACTTCAGGTCCCAGGCTCCTCTCGGGATCCATGAGATCCACACGGAATCGCTCTCTGAACTTCTCATCAGAGCATCTGATAATGTCGACCCGCTGGTTTTCGATGTGGGCACCATCAAGTCCGTCTTCTCCGTAGATGAATTGTATCACATCGCCCAGAGAGTTTCTGACAGTACCATCATACTTAACCATGACCTCTTCCAAGGCCTTAACCAGCTTTCGCTGAATATAACCAGTTTCGGCAGTCTTGACAGCAGTATCGATCAGACCTTCTCGACCGGCCATAGCATGGAAGAAGAATTCAGTTGGGGTTAGACCACGCAGATAAGAGTTTTCCACAAATCCGCGAGATTCCGGAGAGTAGTCATCCTTGGTAAAATGGGGGAGAGTACGATATTTGAATCCGAAAGGAATACGCTTGCCTTCGACGGACTGCTGACCCACAACAGCAGTCATCTGAGAGATATTGATCGTCGAACCCTTAGATCCAGACCGGGCCATCTGGATGGCATTGTTGAGATCCTTCAAACTCTTCTCAGTCTCACTACCAGCTTCGTCACGGGCATTGTTGAGCGCACGCGAAACCTTGCTCTCAAAGGTCTCTCGAACGTTCATACCAGGCAGGGGCTCCAGGGTATTCTCCGTCGCGCTTGCTGTGATAGCCTCGACTTCCTTCTTCCTCTCTCGCACACAATTCTCGATTCGCTGAATCGTGATCGCATCGGGAATGGTGTCACCAATACCTATACTGAAACCATTGTGCAGCAGCCAGTAGTTGACAATGGTTTGTGCACCGTTGAAGAAAGCCACTGCGGTATCCGGCCCATACTCATTGAAGATTGTGTGAATGACCCCACCACCGCTAGCACCAACAGTCTTCTTGGAGAACATTCCATACATCAACTGTCCGCCGTGGATAAGCAGACCACCGTCCGTCAAAGGCGAGAACTTCTCCGCCAGACTAGAGTTATCTTTCTCCACACGCAACAAATTGAGCCCAGATGGAAGAGCCATGCTTATCATCTGCTTTCCAGTCCACCTAGGTCTCGGCTTCAAGATGGCTGGTGGGGGATAACTCCATCCCAGTCTGGAATCCACAACATAATGTTCATGACCTGTTCTTTGGTCAAGAAGACATCACGTCGGCAAATCTTGTAAATACCGCAGAGAGTATCTTGCACGATACCCATAAGCGGACCGTTACGCTGGGGAGACACGATATTCAAAGGGACCAAGGCGAGCTGCTTCAACTCTGCGCGAGACTCCTCGCTCTGAGGAACGTGCAAGTTCATCTCGTCACCGTCGAAATCAGCGTTGTAAGGGGTGGTGACAGACAGGTTCAGTCGGAAAGTCGAATACGGCATAACACGGACACGATGACCCATCATAGACTCCTTGTGAAGGGAAGGTTGACGATTGAACAGAATGATATCGCCGTCCATAAGATGCCGCTCGACTTTCCAGCCATACAGCAGTTGTTGACCTCCAGCTCTTCGGGCATGGCGTAAGTCAATACGCTCCCCATTGTCCCGCACGATATACCTCGCTCCAGGATGTTCGTTCGGGCCATTAGCAACAAGCTGCTGCAGCTTCTCGATGTTGTACGGAGTGACAACTTCGGGGTAGGTCAGAGTCCGAGCAATACTTCTCGGAACACCGACCTCGTCAAGAGACAGGTTCGGATCACCAGTAATGACAGTACGAGCGGAGAAATCGACACGCTTGCCCATCAAGTTCTGTCTAAGACGACCCTCCTTACCCTTCAGACGGCTTCGGATAGCCTTGACCGGTCGGTTCGACTTCTGCATGGCCTTCGGCTGACCAGCGATATCGTTGTCCATGTAGGTGGCAACGTGGTACTGCAAAAGCGACTCAAACTCGCGTACGACGTGTTCAGGAGCGCCTTCCTGTTCGCATCGCTGGACATTCTGGTTCGCTCGGATAATCTCAGCCAACTTGTAAGTCAGATCATCCTCACCGCGCTGGCCGCTGGTGCTGCCACCGACGAGAACACTGGGACGGACAGGAGGAGGGGGAACAGGCAGAACAGTGATGATCATCCATTCAGGACGAGCATAGTCATTACTCAAGCCCATGATGCGAACATCTTCGTGAGAAATGTTGCGAAAGACATTCAGGGCCATCTGAGGAGTGATGACTTTCTTTTCCGGCTGCTGCATCTCATCCTCATCCATCATGCTCTTGTTGGGCTTCCATGTTCCAACCAAAGTGATACCCTCTTTACGAATCGTGGGCTGGGCGTTACCGCAACCACCATGCCTCCGGAGAGGCTTGGAGCTCTCTTTCGAAAACGGCTCGTCCTCGTCCGGCGGAGGGTCTGCTTCACAGATCAACACATCCTTGGACAGTCTCCATATATGGTCGAAACGTCGCTTGGGGTCTCTCATGCGTAGGGCTTCTAAGAATTTGGAGTCGGACTGGTTCTATGTCAGCATATCATGCCATCTAGGATTTGCCATCCCAATTAGGGATGACTAACCGTATCGGCTTTGATCTTGCCACAGTTGTGGCAGACAGTCTCGAGGAGTTTCTTGACTTTGGTCAAGAAGCCTAGAGTATAGTGTTAGCTTCTCGCATCTGCAGCTGATTCCTAGACATCTAACATACCGATGTGGAAGACTGGCGTCGCCAGTTCGATGTGTCCGAAGTGCCCAGGACACTCCTTTTGACCCTCCTCGCAGGTCTCGCAGTTCCATTGCCGGTCAATGGTACCCAAGCGAGGATCGTTCAAACCCTTTGTCCGAGGCCGCATCCGTTGTTCGTCCTGTTTATCATTTCGACCTGTCAGTCATCCCACACCACAAGCCCCAGTCAACAGAAGCCAAGTTGTACGAACCATCGTCTCAGGATACTCAACGTGCACCACGCTCATCCTTTTGATCTCCTCTGGAGAGAAGAGACCAAACTGGATCTCCTTGATGGTGCGCAAAGGCGCCTTGGAGTAGGGAAAGTAAACGTTCGACATGGTGGCGATCGGTCGTCGGATGTAGATGTGATACTCGAGGAAACGAAGGCGGTTTAGCGATCAACGAAACGAAGGATCCGAGTCGCACAAAGCAAAATCAAGCGATACTAGAGCGTTAACAATCAAGCGTGCTCGAGCGACGATGAAAGCGCTTGCAAGCAGCTGGCCGGCTGAGGCCTTTGGCAGCCCTTGCCACGAGGGCGCCTGCGACCTGGTGTCCCCGAATCCGCGAAACTCGGGGTGAAAGGGCGGAAAACGGTATATCTCGATCGAGTACGTCGAGTTCAATAGCCCAAGGAGAGACAGGTAGATATCGCGATACGAGACGCGATAATCTGGAGGGTTGAGGGATGGGCAAGCAGCGTGTCGAGATGAGGAAAGGGAGATGGTTGGATGTCACTTCAGTTTGGATGGGGCACGAGTTTTCTTGAGCCGCAGCCAGCAGCACTAGCGCGGTGCCCGCTAAAAGTCCGCAGCGCTAACCCATAGAAACTTGGCAGGTGGCAGAAAAATCAGATTTGTAATACATAGTCATCCAATCATGTTGTTCATATGATAGTGCCCATGAGTTCTGCTGATGAATTTTAATTTGCAACTGACCGCCCAGTGACTGCCCTCTCACATAACAATCCAGCCAAAAGATTGATTCACCTCTTATCGCCGACTGTGCTCACAGATTACCTAGCCACCAAGGGTGCTGGATGAATCCTTCACAATTATCTCTCCTGGCCTCTCTTCAGGCTGGGAAATCCTCTTCCCTTAACTGCAGTGGCTCTGTTCGCACTTGAAACGCGCTAGTAAACCGCAATGAATTTGTCGCTCATTGATCCTTTCGTCCTCGCCCAGGACTATCCCGACAGCTTGACAGAGAAATTGAGTCCGTCGGCGCTCCCTTCACTTTCTCAATACGACGTGGCTAACGAGCGACAGGAAGCGGGCACGCGACATGTTTGCGTTTCAATCGCAGAGGAGATTACCTTGCTTCCGGACGAGTGCGTACAACCCTCTTCCTTTCGGACCCACCAACCTCGAATCCTCATTGACACCTCATTCTATAGGTGGACGGTACTGTGGTTATTTTTGATATAGAGACAAATGGAGTTGCGCGGAAACTCCGCGGTCATACCAGACAGATCCAATCTCTCAGGTGGGAATTACTCCCCTGCGGAGTCGACTGAGAGAATGTCGTGCTGATGAGAAGGAATAGCTGGTCTAGAGATGGACGATACCTCCTCAGCTCTTCCCAGGACTGGAAGTGCATTTTGTGGGACATGAAAGATGGTTCCCGCGTGCGCACTGTCCGATTTGAGGCGCCTGTGTATATTGCAGAACTACATCCTTTTAACCAGTGAGTGTCCCTTGCTCCTGCAGGGGTTAGAGTCCTGTCTAAAGCATGTCGGATGGTCGCAGTTTACTCTTCGTCGCTTCACTTTTCGAAGACCAACCAGTCCTCGTGGATATTTCGTCCCCCAAACCGATCAAACGAATACTCCCCTCCGCTCCATTTCGTCCTCCGCCATCCGCCTCAGAAGAAGTCGACCCAGCCGTGGTCGCCAAACAAGCCGCGCAAGATGCAAAGCACTCGACATGCGTCACGATCTTCTCGGCATTTGGGAACCACATCATAGCAGGCACATCCAAGGGGTGGATCAACATCATCGAGACGCAGACCTGCACTACCATCCATTCCACCCGACTCTGTAACGGCGTGGTCATTCTCCTCCGTTTGGCAAGTAACGGCCGGGACTTGCTCATCAACAGTTCCGATCGCGTAATCCGAACCATCATCATGCCAGACCTGTCGCAACTAGGGATCGACCTCGAGCCCGCGAACATCAAACTACAAGTGGAACATAAGTTTCAGGACGTGGTAAACCGACTGAGCTGGAACCACGTCACCTTCTCCTCCACAGGCGAATTCGTCACTGCCTCCACCTTTATGAATCCGGACATCTACGTCTGGGAGCGAAGCCACGGCTCCCTTGTCAAGATCCTCGAGGGTCCCCGCGAAGAGCTCGGCGTTGTCGAATGGCACCCGTCGCGCCCCATGGTAGTCGCCTGTGGCTTAGAATCAGGCTGCATATACACGTGGTCCATCGTCACGCCACAGAAATGGTCCGCCCTGGCGCCGGATTTCGGCGAAGTCGAAGAAAATGTCGAGTACATGGAACGGGAGGATGAATTCGACATACATCCGGCGGAGGAAATCCACCAACGGCGTCTCGACCAGGAAGATGAAGTCCCCGATGTCCTCACCATCGAACCGCTAAAGAGTGGCGCGGACGGCGAGATGGAAGCTTTCCGCATGCCGGTCCTCCTGGACATTTCTGACAGCGAAAGTGAGGAGGACATAGTGGCGGTAGGGCCGGGGACGATGCGTCGCCGGAGTCCCGGTGCGGGTCGGGAGTGGATGAACTCCAATGGAGACGGAGACAAAGAAAGTGGGAAGCCCGGTGCTGGTAGAGGTCAAAGGGGCCGGCGGAAATAAGCCGATCTCTCCTGTTTTTTCATGAAACGCCCATGGTCATTACAGCAATTTTGGGGGGATCTGCAACATTTGATGAAAGCATTTACGGCGTTTGACGGCACACATATTATGACGATAACTAAAGATTTGGGGGTTTTTCCAAGGATTCCCAAAAATGGGTGGATCTTCAAGGAGTTTATGACCACAAGTTTAGGGTATGAGTTGAGATCATATCCAATGTATTGGCCGGGTGTCTTTTTTTCATACCAAGGCAGTCGCTCGTGCCATGTCATCAATATCATTACAACCGGGATTTCTTCTAAGAATTCAACTTCAAAAAGGACCAAAGGGGTGGAAAAAACAATAGCAAGAGGGATGTACTGCCATCCAGACAAGAAGGCAGGGTGATCTGGGTATAAAGCCACTGTAAACGGCAACATCCTTCCCTACAGAACGCCAGGGCATGCTATAAAGTGCAGTGCAATTATCGCGACCCGTGCGGCCAAAACAGAAAAGGAATTTGCGTCCCTCCATCTCAGCGAGAGCTGGTTCGCTCCTATCTTCCTTCTGGCTCCTATCTTCCTTCTGTCCAACCAGTGCAAGTGTCGTTATCAGAGCAATCCCATGTCTCTGGTGCCACGATATCAGTCGACCACGACTCCCGCGGCATGGGTCGTAAATGTGGCGGCACCGAAATTGGGTTACCTCTGATGTATATATTCCTTGACCGTTTAGAAAGTCCTCAAAAGCCAACGATCAGGCTTTCTGACGGGCAGGAAACGGGATTAGCCTTCGTTCCAGTATTTTCATGCGAGCTTTCAGAGGTTTCCCGCGTGCACATGAATGTGATACGGAACGAGGAGGGATGACCGGTCATGGGAGTTGGCGACCGAGATTTGAGGAAGTTCGTGGGATTGTAGGGTGTGTGCCGCGTGGGTCGGACTGGTCTCTGAGATGTTCAGTACAGATTTGTAACAAGAATAAAGCAAGATGGAGGAAGAAGATCGCTTGGATCGTGTTCTAAGCACGATTGGTGGTTCAATCTGAGGGTGGAGATTCATGGCGCGCATTTAGTAACCACGATATCAGAGATTTGAAGGATGCAAAGTCGATCTCGGTCAATTGGCGAGGGGCTTTCGAGCCTGGTATATATGCAGTATGTTGTAAGTATGGATCTCTTTATTGAAAGCCTCCGACTTAACATCGGCTGCTATTTGCTTGATTCGTTCGATAGGCCAACCGAATACACGGCTGAAAGGGGCCAGGCTCATCGTCTCAATACTCTCCGAGATGGCTAGGTTATACCAACGAGCCACTCTTCTCTCATGCTCGTCCTGATGCCAAGGGTTGAGAGGGAGTCCAACCATTTGATGGTCAATTTCAGTGAATCCGGCCTCCTGCAGATTTCGAATCGTTTCACGCGAATTGTGAGCAACCGGCCGCATGGTTTCCTCTGTGGCTTGTTTCAATAACTGGTACCATTGTCGAATAGCCAAGCCTTCCAAAGAGCGATCATCGCAACGGGGTTCGAAATCGATTTCGACCTGCTCGAACCACGCACCAGGACGGAGATGGGAATAAATCCTCCGATAGAGGTTGGGCCAGCTTGCAACGCTGCCAGAGCCCATCTGCATGTGAATCAGGTCCCACGAATCCTCCCCAAGAGCCCAAAGGCTTTCAAAGTCGAATGGTGCATAAAAGTCGCAATTTCTCGGATGATTTAGAGGCTGTATAGGGGCCAAATCTACCCCAACAACGAAGGCCTCGGGATACTTGTTGGCCACATCGATCGCCCAAATCCCTGTCCCACATCCCAAATCGAGAAACCGGCCGTTGGTTGGATGCGGAGCATAGATCAGTCCGTCCGAGACTCTCGCCACAGTGAAAAGCTTGTGGAAGATATCTAGACGATCCTGCTCCTGCTCGTCGCACGGCAACATGTAGATTCCTTTGCGGTATCCATGGTACGTTCGTCCGTTCTCCTGATAGCAAGGGTATCTGTCAGGATTCCTAAAGGGAGAAGAGAGGAAAAGGAAGGTTGTATATTAGTCACCCAATGGTAACAAAGTTGCAATATTAACCGCTTTGACGGCAGTTCAAAGGAGGGAGAGCAATAACATGAAAAAGAGAAGGGAGAAGGGAAAGAGAGATATACTTGCTACTGGTAGAATTAATGCTTGGGGAACCATTGGCGTGCCAACGACCAGCGGCCGGGTCTCTCTCTGCAGCCGGACCCCTGTCTGTGATTGTATAGATGTCCATAGCATCGGAGTTGTTTCTTGAGCGGCCCAGGGCATTGAAATCTGACGAAATAGATCCGCGAACGTTAAGTGGCGGGGAGGCCACCGTCGGAGGTCGCTGTCCACCCTGCCCGTTGAGAAACATCAGGTCGAGGAGGTCCAATCGGGTAATGGGGAAGAAGAAGAAGAAGAATAGTATGTTGACGAGGTTAAAGAAGGAAAACACAATGTTGACTGGTCAGGAATCGGTCGTGGAGAGGTATATGAGTAGAAGAAGATATGGTGGCTATCATCACAGATCAAAGCGAACATATAGGAAGGAGGAAAAAGCTGAGCACTGCGGCTGCAGGAATACTGCATAGAAGTATGGACAAGGTGATCGAAGGGCGCGAGAGGTCTTTTTGGCGAGGAAGAAACACATAGAATCATTCACACACACAACAAACGCACACAGTAAGAATCGGTAAGATTCCGTGATACACAGCACTCTCAAACTCAGCTGAACTGCACACCCAACGACAGAATCAGAAGGTGGTCAGCTTAGCATTTGGGAGGCGAAAGGTAACAACAGACCTGAAGCGCCGCGGCTGCCTCCCCGCGGAAGACCCAAGCCTCTGGAGCAACCACACAAGAGCAGTCACGACGCGACCATGCAGGATTCTGGCTCGATAGACT